TTGGTGGCTACAGCAATGGTGACCCTACCATTGGGCTGGGAAGGCCAGCCCTGCCATGGCCACCATTTGAGCTTCCCTTTGTCAGCCATCTTGGGAAGCCCAGTTCTCCATTCTTGCCCTGGGCTACTGGCCACTCGACTTTTCATTCTGGGGCGCAATAGATCTCCAAAGTTCTTTGAATGGGGTGGTCCAAGAAGTGTGGTCCAAACATTATTATTAGAGTGAGGCTGATGTCTCTTAGGGCAGATGGTAGCCAAGGAGGAGGGGTAGGTTGCCAAGCAGTTTGTCCCCTTACAAAAAGTAGGTAAGGTGCTGGTAGCCCTGGTAGCCCATCTTCTTCTGCTGTTGGCTTTGCAGATGCCACCATGTATGCTCACTTCCTCTTCAATGCCTTTGATGTTGACCGGAATGGAGCCATCCATTTTGAGGTAAACATACCCTTTCCCATTTCTTGGACTGCTGCTCTGGACTGTATCCTTTTAACCTTTTGAACTGTCAAATTAGGAAGTTGAGGAAGAGTTTTGCAAGGCAGTTGGACGTACTTTGAACGACTTCACTTTCCAAGACTGTGTACGGATGACTATTTTGTCTCAATGGCTTCCTTTGGCTGAGAAATCTGCCAGACTTGTTCACTGGAGGCAAAAGTGGAAGGAGTGGGACAACAGTGAACCTGTTTTCAACACTCAAACAAAAAACAAAAACCCTGGTATAATTTGGGCATCAGGAGCCATTTCCTGCCTATAGCAGATGCACTGTATTAACTACGATTCAGAGACATAGCCGTGTTAGTCTGGAAAGTCAATATGCAAAGGGATCTTGTAGCACCTTTGAGACTAACTGAGCAAAAGACATTGAAGTGTAAGCTTTCATAGACTTGATCTCCTTTCTTACATGCATGGAGAGAACTGGTGCCCATGAAGGGCCATGCATCTGAGGAAGCAGACCAAGTTTACGGAAGCTTCTGCTACAACGTTTTCCACTCAGCTAGTCTCCAAGATGCTACAAGATCCCTTTGCATACTGTATGAACTAGGTTGATTTGGAAATAGAGGGAGGCTGAAGCATGGGAAAGACATTCACAGTGATGCATTGAGGCATAACTCATTGGGATAGAACTCATGGGGAACCACTTGGCAGGAGAAACATGATGGCCCCTAAATAGAGAAAGGCTGGACTACCACCTTTTCAATGGGA